TACATGTAGTTAGTAGAAGTTTTTTTAGCGCCCCATAAATGTACTAAATGAGTTTATAAATTCGCTCTCGCAATATTTTAGAGTCGTATCTATTTAATTATTTATTTAATATTTCACGTAATGAGCAAATATAAAATGTTCGAATCTTCTCCTACAGTTGAGTGATACAACACATTGTACAATCTAAATGTATACTTTCATGTTATGCTGGATTGAATTCATGGATTGGATTCATTGATTCAAGTGAAATCTAAACATAGGACCAATATGTAAATTTAAAAAATTATAGGTACAAAAATCTCATAGAATTTAGATACCAAAATATAATTGTTCAATGATTTTATATTAAAATTAAATTTGGGGTATAAAATTACTTTATAGTGACTAAGTTGTGATTTAATTAAATTTGGAGTATCAAAATATAAAATGTTAGGCAACAGTAACCTAACTTCAGTTTTATATATATTAAATTTGGGTTATCAAAATATAAAATTTACATTATAGTGACTAAGTTGTGATTTAATTAAATTTGTAGTATCAAAATGTAAAATGTTAGGCAACAGTAACCTAACTTCAGTTTTATATATATTAATGTCGAGTGTTTAGCGTGCTCAAATTCATGTTACCGGATTATTTTGACGATTTCAAGAGATATAATTGGTGCAAGTTCTTCTTCTAATTAAGAAACAACTTATGGATTATAAAATGACAACCAAGCATATATCTACATTTTGGGTATGCCTATGGTGACATGCATGTCACCGTAACTTGCACTTTTAGGTCAACCTCATATAAGATTAGGTCGACCTAATATGTCGTTTCAGTTTTGTGAGGTTCCTGAATACACTAATGTGGGCAACCTGATGACTTATCACGGTCGACCTTTAAAATGTAGTTGTCGACCGTTTGTAGTTTAAGTTGTCATTGTTAGTCGACCACAATAAAACATCGGTCGCCCTTTTCATTGGCATCAGAAGCAAAATGGTCGACCATAAAGGTATACAGGTCGACCACTTGATGGCGGTCATTAACAAAATGGTCGACCATTTACAGAAAGAGGTCGACCATATAGAAGAGAAGTGTTGTATCCATTTATCCATCATCATTTGACGTAAAATGAAGATCAAGTGTTGGTTTCGCGGTCGACCTAATCCAGTACGAGGTCGACCGAATACAAGAAATCAACCTATGCCCTGCATCTTTTTTGCTTATGTATGTCGATGTGGGTGGTTCTTTTGCTCGTACAAATTATGTTTCAAATCAACAGAATCATTCATAAATAATGATAACAAGGACTCATAACTTCCACATGGTCGACCTCTTGAATCACGTACAGTAGCAACCGCAGAGGATCTTCTTCACAAAAGCTCTAACCGTAAAAAAAAAAAACCTAATTCAGAGTTTCGGTGGCGGTGAAGGTGACATATATTCGTATTTATAGATATTTAGAATGAGAATGTGTCGAATTAAGTGGTAGATAAGTTAGCGTTACCTTTCTGGTGTTGGAATCCTTATTCAATACAGATACTGTGTGAACGCGGTCGACCTCGTATGCTATGTGGATATACAAATGAGGATGATAATTATAATTATTTTTTAGTTCTATTTAATTTATTTTTATAATGAGGTTGAAATTATAAAAGATAAAATTTAATTATATTTTAATTGTCACATCACTTATTTAATGGTAACTCTTTGAGTTGACTGCCACATCAGCGAAGTTAACGGAGACTAACGGAGAGTGACCAAACTTGAAATGTTAAACTAATTTTAGTGAACATAAATGGAATAAAGTAATTTTAGTGGCAAACGTGAAACTCTTTAGTAATCCGAGTGACCAAACTTGCAAATTGCCCGAAAAGAAACGCTAGAACATTTAAAGAATAGGTTACTCCACCGCTGGCTTGCTATCTCCAATCACGCGACGACGGCCAACGATTCATTCACAACGTGAGTGTCCATGTTCAGCATCAGCAGCTTATGTAGACAAAAACTGAAGCACATCGAGAAAAGAAATCATGAAACCCACCACCAACACCACTGCCGCCAACGGGGTTCCCGTAAGCGTCATAGTCTTCACAATCCATGTGTTGGCCCTCGTCGAAGCTCAGGGCGTAAGTCATAGGATCGTACCGGAACCTCCCGAGTCGGTTATTATTATCGTTGCCGCCAATCGCACCCTTCCTATTGAACCTGCGGATGAAGGTCTTCCACTAGGGACCGACAACGATCTCGGACCACTCCCTGACCTTCTTGACGGCCTGGATCCCGGCGGCTAGCCAGGAGTGTTCCCACCAGGAGAGAGATGGGGAGGTAGGGGAAGAGAAAGAAGAGAAGGAACTGGATCGTTGGCGGGAGCGGAAGCAGGGGAAGGTGAAGCAACAACGGGAGTGGGAGAGGAGAGTGTTATCCTCCCGGATGGAATAGGCGGCGACGGAATCAGATCTTCGTGTCGTTTCTGCATCGGTTTCTCGTGTTGGCACGGTGCCCATGGGAGATTTGAAAATTGGGGAAACCTCGTTTGGTAGTTGTGAATGTTAGAGTTATGTTTATTGGATACATGCATTGTGCACAATACAATGTTTGGAAGTGCCAATGTGCAAAACAATGCATGCATTGTGCACAACACAAAAAATCATGCATTATACAATCTCAACCTTTAGTTGAGATTGTTGTGATTGTTGATTTTAGTTTTGTGACCATTTTTTTTTTCATTTACATTCCTATTAGTTTTTGTTTTATACTAATAGTTTATGATAAATGTGACATTTCCCCATAAAATAATTTTATGCAAATCAATACATAAAGTAGAATCTCAATAACCAAACAATGTATTATTGAAATGTATCCATTGTACCAATATATGTATTTATTTTGTCGTTATTCATTAGTCATTACAATGTAATGATTTAACATTCGCAACATCCAAAAGACCCCAAATCTTAAGAAAGAAAGATAAGAGAGAGAGTTGTTGGGATGGGAGAGAAAGGGTGTGGAATAAAATGTATTACTTTTTCCTATTGGTTGGGTTCAAAATGAAAAAGAAAAAGGGTAATGTTAATTTTTTATCCAAATCTTTTTCAGATTCTTTTATAATATTCAAACCTATCGAAAAACTAAAAATTAGCAAAATGTTAACTTTCAGTTAGCAAATTTGTTAGTAATATTGACTTGGCAACATGATACTGACTTGGAAGAGACACATGAAGGTCAATATTCCAAAATTTTAGTATTTTAACTAAGAAAAGAGTTAGAAATTCATTAAAGATAACGTAAAAATGACTAATATTTTGATGCATTACAAACGATTTGGCTAATTAATAGCATTTTAATAGGTTTGGATAATATAAAAGAATTTGAAAAAGGTTTGGAAAAAAAAATAGACATTACCCAAAGAAAAATGGTAATAGGTTGAAAATATAAAAAATTTTAAGTGAAAGGTTCTGATTTGACAGTGACGTGGCGTGTCCAAGATAATGGTCAAACATTTAGTTTGACAAATTTCGTAACTTTGATGTATAGTTGAGTCATGATGTTATATATCAAAAAGATTGATTAGAATGTTTAATATGTACAAAATTCAGGGCTTTGAAGTTCATGTTGATTATCAAATCAAAAAGAAGAGAGGGAAGCATTTTATGCAGGATGAGACTATTGTGTACTATGACCACGCTGATATCGATCTGCTCTCCATTCTGGACTTGGTAGACATCTACAAGGAGTGTGGTGGGAAGATTCCGAAACCAAAGTTTTATTGGAAAGCTCCCCTTGATGAATCAATGACAGAGATTACCAGAGATGAAGACTTAATGGAAATGGCCGGAGCAGCTAATGAACCTCCCAGAATCATTGAACTTTATGCTATGGCTGAGCATGAAGTTCTGGAGTTTATGGATAGTGATGATGAAGAAGATGCAACTCCACTTGCAGAAAAGGAAGTAACAGTAGGCGAGGATGGAGATAGTGACAATGATTATGAAGGAGAGGATGAAGATAGTGACATTGAGGGCGATTCTGAGTCGGATATTAGCATTGGTGATGATATAAACTATGAGAAGAATGTGAATTTAGACGTAGAGGCTGATATGGGGATGTTTGGTGGAGGAGATGACGACCTTGGTGATGCAGAAGTGGACGAAGAGGAGTCTGATCCTGCAGACTCAGATGATCGTAGATCTATCCATAGTTCGGATTCCGAATCTGATGCTGCAATTGTTCCTGATTTCCGGGTGGACCGAGACATGGAGAAGCCAACCTTTGCTATTTCTCAAAAATTCAGCAGCTTTGGTGTGTTGAAGGATGCACTCAAGCAATATTCTTTCATTGAGAAACGACCAATATTCTTCAAACGAAGTGATGGTAAGAGGCTGCAAGTGATGTGCAAGGCACCATGTGATTGGTACATATGGGCATCCAAGTTGAGAGATGAAGATGCTGTGAAGATCACTAGGTTCAAACTTGAGCACACAGCAGATTGCACCTTAACCTTCAACAATAGGTTTGCAACATACAAGTTCTTGGGGGATAAAATGACTAAGAAGGTGGCAGCAGATCACAGTATGAGTAAGAAATTGTTGAAGCAAATTGTGAAGGAAGATTATAGGGAGGAGATTGGGGATATGAAGGCATGGAGAATCAAGAAGACAGCAATTGAGAAGGTCCGTGGTTCTATTAGGGACCAATACAAAAGCTTATATCATTATGCTGCAGAGTTGAGGAGGAGCAACCCAAACTCCACTGTTGTAGTTGAGCAACGAGAACAAGTGTTCAATCGCATGTATGTATGCTTTGAGGCATCAATGAAAGGTTTTAGAGCAGGCTGCAGGCAAGTCATATGCATCGATGGATGCTTCCTCAAGCATGATTATGGTGGCCAGCTGCTTTCTGCCGTTGGTATTGATGCGAACGAGCAATATTTTCCCATCACATTTGCTCATGTTGAGGTGGAGAACAAGGATAATTGGCTTTGGTTCCTGGAGCTTTTGGGAACCGATTTGCATATTAATGATAATCCTGGATGGACATTCATTTCTGACAAGCAAAAGGTGCATTTTTTACTCATTCTTGCTGCCTTAAATTTATTTGCTGCTGCTGTAAATTATTTTTTTTTTGTTGACAAGCTGCTGTAAAATAAACACTGGTGTTAACCATTGCTGTAATTTTCATTCTAAAGGGTCTAATGCCAGCACTAGATGAGGTGTTTCCCTCTAGTGAGAAGCGTCATTGTACCAGGCATCTTGTGACCAATCTAAGTGCTGCATGTGGATCATCAGCGAGGGTTAAGGAGCTATTCTGGGAAGCAGCTAGAGCCACCACTGTCTCTGAATTTCAAGTTGCTATGAGAAGCCTGTCGGATTACAACAAGCCCTCTTATGATTGGCTTGTTGACAAGCCATACTACCATTGGTCCAGGTCGCATTTTCAGTGTCTCGTTTTAACAGATACGGACACGAACAACCTGGTTGAGAGCTGGAATAATGTCATCGTCGATGAGAGGGATTTGGGTCCTGTTGGCATGTGGGAAGGGATTAGGAGGAGGCTGATGGTGCTATATGCCAAAAGACGACGTATAGCCAACAAGTGGGCTGGTCCTTTGTGTAAAAACATTGAGAAGAATTTGCAAAAACTAGGAGAAGAAGCCCTTAAGTGGTCTGCTGAATCAAACGGCAACGGGGGAGTTTGAGGTGAGGTGGCAAAATCAGCAAGTTGCTGTTAACTTGAAAAAAAAGAATTGTACTTGCAGAAGGTGGGATCTGACTGGAATCCCTTGCGAGCATGCCATCCAAGCAATTCGTAAGGCAAAGCTTAAGGTATACGACTTTGTGGCTGGTTGTTACTTCAAGGAATCGTGCATAAGAATTTATGAGAACTCCATATCACCAACGGCTGGTAGAGAGTATTGGCCTTTGTCTCAACTTGGTGACGTTGGAGTTCCTCCACTTCGTGACTCAATTAAGAGAGGAAGGCCAAAGAAAGCTAGAAGAAAGGAAGCTGGTGAAAAAGATTCTGGTAAGAAGAGGCAAAAGGGTCCTGAAAGAGAAGTTGCAAAACCAGTAAAGAAGAAGTATAAGTGTACTGATTGCGGAGAAGTTGGGCACAACAAGACATTTCATCAAAACCGAGAAGCAAAGGAGTTGGCAAAGAAAAAGAGGGCAGAAGCAAAACAGAAGTAAAAGGAAGATATACAGAGAAGGAAACAACTTGAAAGGGCAGAAAGAAACAGGCTAGCGGCATTGAAGAAGTTGCAAGCTAAGGCTGCCAAACAAGCATCAAGTCAAGTGATGGCAGATGTATAAGTTTATGCTTTTGTCTTCTGTTTTCCATTTCTCATATTCAATATTTTTTTATAAGCCTACTGATGTAATTTAACTTTGCAGGGAAGTTCCCAAAGGCCAGCAAGTCAAGTGTCCCAGCAACCAAGCCAAGACTCACATAGGAGCAATCTGTGAAGAGTATGGTGTAGACTTTTGAAGCCATTCATGTCTATTGTAGTGCTTGGTTAGGAGGACAAGCAGAATGGCTGTTTTGTTGACTATTTTGAAGTCATTCATGTATATTGTAGTGCTTGGTTAGGACAAGCAGAATGGCTGTCTTGTAATCGTATGTTGAACAGATTGTTGAACTTTAGGGGGACCAGCAATGGTAGTTAATGGCTGCTGTAAAACAGTTCCAGGTGTTCAGTAAAGTTTTTGGCTTTTGGTTAAATTCATGTTCAGCAGGTTATGGTTGCATTTATTTTATGTATTGTTCTGTTCTATACAAGGTGTTACATATCAAAGGGAAAATATCAGAGTGATACAAACGAAAGAAAACCAGCAAGGCAGTGGCATTCATGAAATGCAATCAAAATCATAGTGATACGGATGAAATATAAAAAAATCCGTAGTGGCTTCCGTGAAAAATAAATAACATTCCGGTGGTACAGATGAAACTAAAGTACATTACAATGGTACAATTGAAACATAAACAACATTCTAGTGATACAAGTGAAACAACATTTTCTTATTTTCCCAACAAGATGAAACCAAATACAATGACCATTACAGTGAAGATGCAAGCCATTTTGACAGTTATTTTGTAAGCTCTCCTTGGTTCCCTTCTCTCTAGATCTCGAATTCGACGATGGAGGCTGAGCACAACGTTTCGCATATGCTCATCAAGGGATGGTTCATACCATCTGAAATAATTGCATGCTCCATTCGTCTACAGAAGAAAGCACAATGAGGGGAATGGTCAGAACCTAAACCCAAACAGAAGGTACATAAAGCACGAAAGGAAGTGAGATTGAAATGGTCTTACCCCAAACTTGCCACATCCATAGAACCCCCGCCCTGGATTTGCATCGGTCCAACTTGTCCTCAAACTTGTTGGATTCCCACAGTGACAATATGGGTTAGTCATGGTTTAGATCGGTAACATCCAGAGATCACAAGTTGTTGCAGAGGAGAAGGAAGAAGATGGAGAAGGAAGAATAAGGAAAGTGGAAGAATAAGGAAGATGGAGAAGATGAAGGACGATGAAGAGTAGAGGAGTTGTCTGGAATTTGGATGGATGAGAAAGAACGAAAATGAGGTGAGAAGGGTTTTAATAGTGGGTAAGAGTTTTTTTCCCTCCCAAAAAGGTAAAAAGTATTTGAAAATGGGGGAAAAGGGTTATTTTACCCTTCCATTCCACTTCAGCACCCTAGTGCCGTCTTTTTTAGCCTCTCTGTCAGCCCAGTCAGCACTTCCGTTTGCCACGTCATGAAAAATCTGACGGCGTTAACGGAGTCTGACGGAGACTGACGGAGGGTGACCAACGGTGAAACGATTCTTAAAGTGAGTGGTTAAATTGAAAGAAAATTAATTTGGGTGGCAAACGTGAAATATTTATGCAATTTGAGTGACCAAATGTGTAATTTAGCCTCTGTTAAATAAAAAAATTCCGCAATGGGCTGCCTCCGCCTCCTGCAGGTTATATATACGTCCCGCGGGGACTCCTCCTCCAGCGGCTTTCCCGGAGGCCGATCAATTCCACGGCTTCGTTACATCGTAGCCATTACTACGACAAGGATGCACCCCCGCCATCTCACCGTCGCGTCGACGCCTTTCATTCTCTCCTTCTCGTCCAGGCTACGTAAACCTCCCACGGCCGCTTCCACCATTCATACAGCTCACCGCTTCCTTTTCATTCTACGCGACCGGTACTCGATAACTCCTACCTCAACATCGCGCCTTCGTCAACCAATCTAGCTGGCTCCTCCAAGCTCCAAAGCTTCCCCTCACTGTCTCTCCCTCTCGACCGCAGCTGCAATGGAAGGGCAGTTGGGTTTTGGTGGCTCCTTCTGTTCTCCCGAAGTCATCAAAACCCCACAACCCCACGTTGAATTCAGAGTTCAGACTATGGGGTTGAGCGGCAAATCAAGACATGGCTCCTCCAAGAGAGAACCCTAATTATGTCTCTGTTCTGCTTCTGTATTATCCTTCCCTCTTTTATCTGATGTTTTTCTCTCTTCTGAGGCTTTAATTTGCAGTGGGCTGCTGGTAGTTGCAATGTAGCGTGTGTTTTGCTAGGCCTGGAAGAATTTGGGTGGCTGAGTGCTAGTTTGTGAAGTCGGTAGTGCCACAATTGAGTCACTGCTGTAGATCTCGAAGCTCCAAGAGGAAGAGACCGAAGAGAACCCAGTTGAAGTTGGTCCTCCCCGAAATTCTCGCTGCAGTTCAGACACTCCAATTTATCCTTGTGGTCCTCCCCGGCACTCCCCTTCGTACAAATTCCTTTATGGTACAAGCTAATCATGTACCTATACCTTTTCATAAACATTTATTTATGGTGCAAACTAACATGTACATTAAAATTATTGTACAAAGTGAACTGTACCTATATTTTCATACGCATTCTTTGATGGTACAAAGTGAATTTATACCTATATTTTCATACGCATTCCTACGGTACAAACTAGACATGTACTTGTACTTATATCGTTTCACACAAATTCATACCTATATTTTCATACGAATTTATACCTATATATTCAACTTGTACCTATATCGTTTCACACAAATTCATTCGTGATACAAACTGAACTCGTACCAGGACCTTAAGGTACAAACTAAACTTGTACCTTGATCTTATGACACAAATTCAATTTGTACCTATACTTTTCATATAAATTCATTTATGACACAAAATGAACTTGTACTTTAACCTTATGGTATACTTACTATGGTTTAAGATTTTATTATCACTCTCATATCATGATCACAACAATATGATAAGACTCACAAAACCATCAAATCATTTTATTATCGTGCCGATACTATCTTACCACCATCATACAACTACATTAACGCTCCATAAATAGGTTATCTGAGTTATGTTATAAAAGGTATCTAAAATTGAGTAGATAAAAAGACTATGACTTGTGGAATACTACATTCCAAATCAAATACATAGCCGAAACTAATAAATTGATTATGCTAGTGAGAGATAAGAGTCGTCATTATGCTAGTGTACTCCCTCTCTGTGTCGAGGCTGACACCCTCATTATTTAGGGGTGGATCCTACGTGTATCAATGCTTATGTTTAACTAATAAATTGATGTTAAGATCATGATTGTGATTTTATCACTCTTACTTGCTTACATCAATCACATATATGACAGATGAGATATCAAGCATATATATGTGATTTTATAGATGGACAATGCATGGCATATAAGAAATTGTGCATTCTTGTGCTACCGACGAGGTGTCGCTGCGAAACCATGGTAAAGGAAACCGGATCGTACCGGCCGGTTGAACCGGTAAAACCGGAAATCGGGGCCTGGCCGATACGATAGTCGTTTGCTGGTTAAAAAATCGTGTCGGCCGGTTTTCCCGGTTAGATAATATGAACTCCTGGGCTGGTCCTTGCTTAATTTGGTACTTTGTTAGATAATATGAGGCTCTTCTTTTATGTCGGTTAGATAATATGAACTCCTGGGCTGGTCCTTGCTTAATTTGGTACTTTGTTTGTGTGAGTTCTGATGTAATTTGGGTTGGCTTAAACCGTCCCTGGTCGGATTAGACAGTGCCCTAGACAGGCTGTAGCAGAAGGAGGCTGAACTCTCCCAATAATTTTGCTTTAGATTAGAAAACCATTATCTTGTTGAGGGAGCGGAAGTGTCTGTAATGGATGATACTCTTGTTGTTGCTGCAATTTCGTGGATTCTGCTTCAATACAGTGATGTTTCATTCAACGTATAAAAGTTAATAGTTTGATTTCACTAAATTGCTTATGGATGAAATTTGGTATTTGCTTTCATCCCCGTTATGTACAAATCCATTGGTTTCAATGCATCTTGATTGATTTGCTTTTGTGATGCAATTTGCTACATTTCTTATGAAGCAAAGTGATTGGCAGCAATATGATGTTGGTAGAGTTACTGATAGGGTGAGCATCGGTCTGGTCGAACCGTGCCAAGTAGCACTAAACCATCTTTGAAAATTCACAATATAAAAAGCAGCAAAAGAACGTAACATTGTGTTAAATATATGGATTTGATGAATATATGCTGAAATTGGGTCAAAACAATTTCATACCGCTAAAAATCACCTAACAATTTAGATTCAGATAGGAGACTATCCTGATTGGACCACCGGTATGATGGATTTTACAAGCACAAATTTCTTTACCCTTTTGATTCACTTG